CAAGAGAAGACTAGGATTCTTGGCAGGGCAGAAATTCTTGGCAGAAACCCTCACAAAATGCTATGAACGTAGTTGTGAACCTGGAACTGGGGTGCTGGGGTGAATCTCGCCTGCCTGGACTGTGGCCTTAGGATCTGACAGCCACACACCCGGACTTCTCGTCTCTTGCTCGTACACCATCCCATGGAATCTCTTTGCTCCATGGCACATGGTTGGGTTTTTTTGGTTGTTCCAGAAAATGGGGCAAACTCCTGTCCTTGACTCTTTTGCCATTGCTGCTAAACTTCCTACCATCTCTATGTGCTGGGATGTTGTGGCAGAGAAACATCATGGAAAGGAGGGAGGGGTCAGTGGGCTCACATACCTGCCAAATTCCCCAGGTCCCCTCAGTCATCGTGGCTTGCAGGAAAATTCTCCCTGCCCCTCAGGCAGCCTGAATTCCTTTAGCACATATGTCACCTCCGGCTCCTGCCACAGCCCTCACCTGCCTAGGAGACCATAATCACTCAAGGAAAAATCAAGTCAAAGTTCCCAGCGCCCCTCTCCCCACAGACCCTCGTTGTGCACACATGCGGCTGGAAAGCCTCTCCTGGCTCCAAATCACAGTGGCTTTCCATTCCAGTGAAACTGTGATGTTGCTGTGGAAACAACCAGTGGGGTGTTGGTCTGGCCACATCCCAGGCAGAGGGCCCACAGCCCACACCAAAGCCACACTGGGCACTAGTAGCCAGGAGCCCCTAGCCACCCTCACCACCCAAGGCAGCCCCGAGCCCCAGCGGGGTTGTTAGTAGCCCAGTGCCTGCAAGTGCATTGTAGCCTGGCGTGTGTGTCTGCATTACAGCTTGGTGTGTGTGTGTGTGTGTATTGTAGTCCTATGTGTGTGTATATACATTGTAGCCCCGTGTGTGTGTGTGCGCTTCATAGCCTGGTGCGTGTGTGTGCATGCGTGCATCGTAGCTCAGCATGTGTGTGTACATCATAGTTTGACGTGTGTGTGTGCATCATAGCACAGTGTGTGTGCGTATGTGCACGTTGTAGCCCGGTTGTGTGTGTGTGTGTGTGCATGCATGGATCACAGCTCAGCATGTGTGTGTACATTATAGTTTGGTGTGTGTGTGTGCATCATAACCCAGTGTGTGCAGCTGCATCAGAGCTCAGTGCATGTGTATGTGTGTGTGTGCACACATTATAGCCCAGCATGTGCATGTGTATTGTAGCCCAGTGTGTGTGTGCATCAGAGCCTGGTGTGTGTGTCTGTGCATCGTAGCCTGGTGTGTGTGCATTGTAGCCTGGTGTGTGTGAGTGTGTGCATCGTAGCCTGGTGTGAGTGTGTGCATCATAGCCTAGTGTATGTGAGTGTGTGCATCATAGCCTGCTGTGTGAGTGTGTGCATCATAGCCTGATGTGTGTATGTGCATCGTAGCCTTGTGTGAGTGTGTGCATCATAGCCTAGTGTATGTGAGTGTGTGCATCGTAGCCTGGTGTGTGTGTGTGCATCACAGCCTAGTGTGTGTGAGTGTGTGTATTGTAGCCTGATGTGTGTGTGCATCATAGCCTAGTGTGTGTGAGTGTGTGCATCATTGCCTGGTGTGTGAGTGTGTGCATCATGACCTAGTGTGTGAGTGTGTGCATCGTGGCCTGGTGTGTGAGTGTGTGCATCGTAGCCTGGTGTGTGTGTGTGTGTGTGTGTGTGTGTGCGCGCGCGCATCACAGCCTGGTGTGAGTGTGTGCATCGTAGCCTGGTGTGAGTGTGGGCATCATAGCCTAGGGTGTGAGTGTGTGCATCGTAGCCTGGTGTGAGTGTGTGCATCATAGCCTAGGGTGTGAGTGTGTGCATCGTAGCCTGGTGTGAATGTGTGCATCATTGCACATGATTGTTTTCTTTTCTCCATAGCCCAGCCCCTCCCAGCACACAAAAGGCACATTCTTGAGGGGGAAAAAAAAAAGAAAAAATGTATTTTTTTCTGCATTCCAGCTGCCTGAGCTAAGCGGAGGAATGAATGGTTTGGGAAAAATCTCACACAGGAATAAATTTACAAGGGACAGCTGAGAGGATAAATTCAGTCCCTAAAGAGGGGCGTTACGAGGCCTTTTGGCAGGAGGCTTGCCCTTGTGCAAAGCTGCCTAAAAAGAAAAACAGAGCAAAAGAGGGCAGCTTTCAAACCCACCTTAAAACAAACCTTTCAGAAACCCCTTTCACTCCCTCTAGCATTTAAAGACGGAGAAGGCCCATTACCAAAAACAAATAAATACTTTCTTGGTGGACCACATGGGCCCTGAGTTTGCCTGAAATGCCAGCTCTGGCTAAGGCGGACTGTTGAAAGTTGCCCAACTTTTCTGATTTGACCTGTAGTCTGCAAACTTCATGACAAAAGTGACGTCTGACCTATGGGGTATTTGGCAAACAGTTAGTGTTGATTCATTAGGAGTTCCCCTTCGTTAAAGAGTGAACTTAGGCCAGTCATGTTGGCTCACACCTGTAATCCCAGCACTTTGAGGGCCGAGTAGGGCAGACCACCTGAGGTCAGGAGTTCAAGACCAGCCTGCCCAACATGGCAAAACACTGTCCCTACTAAAAATACAAAACTTAGCCAGGTGTGGTGGTGGGCTCCTGTAATCCCAGCTACTAGGAAGGCTGAGACAGGAGAATCACTTGAATCCAGGAGGCAGAGTTTGCAGTGAAGCTGAGATCGTGCCACTGCACTCCAGCCTGGGTAACAGAGTGAGACTGCGTCTCAAAAAAAAAAAAAAAAAAAGTAAAATAAGCCCAATAGAAGACGGACCAAGGCAAGCAGGGAGCTAGAGTTGGACTGAAATTAGGGAAGCCCTGTAAAGACAGGAGACAGCTGTGCCCCCTGGGAGGAAGCTGCCACCGATGCTGGAGGACGCTGGGTCTAAACGTGCAGTGTTTGTTCTTGTGAGTCTCCATAGTTGTTTTCTACAATGATTGGGAGGGAGATTAGGATGGAATCATTTTTGGACACTCTCCCTAAAGGAGCATTGAATGCTTGCTGCTCTCTCCTGCCTCACTGCAGTCCGTGACCGGTTGCTAGAATTAAGAAAACCCTGTGGTTACTTTGAGGTCTCAAAACTCAGTCAACCTATATCCTCTCTCTTTTCTCTGGAAACCAAATCTTAGAATTTTTACAGCTGGAAATGACCCTTCTGCTCCTCACCGTGAATTTCCCAGGCTCTTTCACTCCCTGGAGAGCCTAAGACTCTAAGCTTGGCCCCCTGGGTTCCCATGGGACAGCTGAGCTGTCAATCATCACCAAATACGCTCCTGTTGCATGCCGTGAGCTGTGCTGTACTCGTACCATCAACGCTTCTCCACGATGCTATTACTTCTGAAGTCACCATGGCCAGTGAGTATCAAGCATTGACAGCTCGGTCCTGCATTGTCCACTTAGAGACCTAGGAAGACGTATACAGAATGGTCAGTCCCTGCCCACAAGGAGCCGAAACTCTGTTGATAAGATAGTAATTACCGGTTACTGAGTGCTTGCTATATTCCAGTTCCCTAGCTTTTCACCTGGTGATTCACCGTGATCAGTAGTTTATTTGCATTCAATGTAGTAATTAAATGCAGGGGCAGAATCTGACTAATTTGCCAGGACACAAATCCTGGATCTACCACAAATCAGCTATGCGTTCTTGGGTATTAACCTTAAAGATTTGAGAGCCTCAGTTTCCTTATTTGTAAAATAGAGAGTAATATCTGCCTTGTAAGAATGCTGTGAGAACTCAATGAAACAGTGTTTGCAAAGCTGTTAACTGTGACCAATCATGCTGAGCTAGGGACTGTCCTATTGAAGGGAGCTTCTAACTCTCCAACACCTTCCAGCCCACAAACTTTGAACCCCAGCTCAGTTAGAAGCCTGGAGAAGGCAAGAGAGGAGCGGCTCCTGAGCTGCTCAGAGCCTACAGAATCTTCCTAAAATGTTCTAACATTCATACCGCCTGGATCTGTCCTCTTCTTCTTGCTTCTACTTAGTTAGCTTCCTTACAAGAAAAAGATTACACTGGAATCAGGAATATGCGTAGAGTCCCAAGTCTACCTCTTTCGAAAGTTGCCTCCCATGAGCTTGTGTCCTTGGAGAGGCCACTCTCTGAACCTCAATTTACCCATCTGTAAAATTGGTATATAATAGTGTCAGTAATACTTGATGTAAAATTTTGAGATTATGTACATACAATACTTAGTGTGTGTGTGTGTGTGTGTGTGTGTGTGTGTGTGTGTGTGTGTGTATTCAATAAATGGTTAGTATTTTCCTTGCTATTTTTACTGACATATGAAAATGCTTTTTGAACTGCAAAACTCCAAACAAATGTCAAATATCATTGGTTATTCTTCAATTTTATCAGAAATCACACACGACACTACTCGTGCCATGTGAAGAAAACACCCAGGGCATGGCCCTGCCTCCATCCAGCCGCACATGTGGCCAATGGGCAGGATCCCCAGCTTGCAGAAGACGTCGCTACAGCAGATATGTGAATTATTCATACGCCTTGCATCTTAGGGTCAACTTCCTTATTGGGATGGAGCTGGAAGAGCCAACCTAGGCAGGCCCCTTTCCCTCAATGACTAGCAGTTCCTACAGTCCTCTTAGAGAAGTCAGACTTTGGCTTTTAGGTGGAGGAGAAGGTAAAGGGGAGGTTGGAGCTGTTCTTGGGGCTCTACGCCTATACCATAGGCCACAGGCATGCTTTTTATCAGCAGTTATTAGTAAGTGGACAATAACCACTTATTAAGGCTAAATTACATACACACTTGAGAGAATGAAGCAACACTGAAAAGGGAATTTACTGATGTTATATTCTGGTTGTAAGTTGTTTCTTTAGGAACATCAAGGCTCTGTTCTGCTCTGACAGAATAGAGGTCTTGGCTTTTAGGGGAATTCAAAATTCAAAAAAGAGATTAATCTAGGAGAAAATGATGGCTTTTCTGAAGGGTGTGGGTAATACTCACAAGAATGATGATACTAGAAATCCCAAAGAAAAGAGCATCCTCAGGGAGGCTGTGCATCCAAAACAAATAGAATCATCTTCAATATTTACTGCTGGCCCATGACTACATACAAACGGGCACGAAGCACTCTACACACATCACCCATTTCATTCTGTTTGCAATTCTTGGAAGTCATTGGTATTACTATTATTTACAGAAGGGAACGCTGAAGTTCAGGGAGATTAAGCAATGTGCCCGGCATTGCCCAGCTAGCATCTGGTCAGAATAAGATTCCAATCGGCTCTTGCTGCCTGGCTCAGAACCTACACCCAAGGCTGACTGTGGCTATTCCTTTGCATTAATCTGTAATGTCCACTCTTGTTTTCAAGGGTGGAAGAGACTACTAATTGTCCTCTGATACCTGTTCTTACCTAACAGAATGCTATAACAATTAGCCAACCACACAGCCACTTGAAATAAAGACATATTTTCCAGTGTCTCTACAGCTAGATGCAGCCATGTGACTAAGTACTGGCCAGTGGGATATGAGTTGAAGCAATGTGTTCAATTTCTGGGAAGTGTCCTTAAAGAGAAGGCATGCGCCCTTTCCCTCCCCTTTTCTTTCTTTTTCCAGCAGGCTAGAGTGCAGATGTAATGACAAAAATTGGAGCCACTGTCTTGGACCACAAGATAGAAATATTGAAGATGGCAGAGGAGGGGTATAGAACAAGGGTGGTCACTGATGATTGCAGGGTCACAGTTACAACTCTGGTCTGCCTCCCTACAATTTAATGTGAGACACCGATAAATCTTCACTTTGATTAAACTACTGTAATTTAGGGTTTGCTGTCACTCAGTTGGATTGAAGCTTATCTATTGCACAAGATATCTCCATGCTTTGTCCATCTCTCCCTACTTAACATCATTGTTCCTTTCTGCAGTTTCTTCTTTTCCTCCTCTACGATTTCATCCAAAAGGATTCAAATTACACATATATCAGATGAATGGCAGATCACCAAAGGGGCAGAAAGACAGCCTGAGATCTCAGGGGAGGGCGAGTGTGTGTTGGGGCCAGGGTCCATGCTCTTGGAGGCAATGTTCTTGGGCCTGACCAGCAGAGAGGGAGTGGCTCAAGAGCAGTTCTTCCTAGTCCATTAGCCTCCCAGTCCATTTATGAGGCCAGGCATGAGTCTTGCCAACAAAATCGTCTTTCCAAGAAAATAAATTCAAGTCATCCTGCTCTCCTGGTTCCTCTCCTGCCATCATTCCCAGAAAGTCTGAAGTACATGGTGTGGGCTGCCATGGAACATCTGTCTCCGGGCCCACCCAAAAGTACCAGATTCCAGGAGGGTCCGAGCCAGACTGAACTGCACTTTCCTCTCCTACATGTGTCATCTTTGCTTATGTTCCAGAACAATCCATCTGAGCATGGCTGCAAAAAGAAGTGATTCTTTCTTTGCCCATGGAAATGCTTCGAAGAGTTCCAGCATGGGTGAGATCTAAAAGTCCCCTGATCATTGAATCCTAGAGCTGGAGAGACTGCAGAGGTCATCTTGTCCCCAAAAAGATGATCTTACAGCTAAAGGAAGCAGCCTAGTCAAATCATTTGTTGTTAGAGAGCTAGGATCAATAATAATAATAACAGCAACAACAATAGCAACAATTAGGCAGCCCTTTCTATGTGCCAAACAGTGAGCTGCACATTTAACATGGATTATTCATTAAATCTCCACAACGGCCCTATAAAACAGGCTCAGAGAAGTTAAATAATTAGCCTGACATTACAAGCTATTAGCTTTTTGAGTCAGGATCCAAATGAGTTTGTTTGTTGTTTGAACTCATCTCTTTTTACAGCATTATACTACGAACTGATTACATGTCAAAACAAAAGAAGGTCACAATTTCCCCTCTGTTGAACCCAACGGGAAAGTCCAGGGGCTCACAGAGTTGTTGTCATTGTACTTTCTTATACACAATGCTGTCCCCTGGGCCACCCGAGACCTCAATACAGACGGTCCCCTCTGTGGGAGTCTAAGATCTATCTCTGGCACAAAGTTGGGCATTGCTTCTGTTCCCAGGCACCAATCTGAACAAACACCTTCAAGATTCAGGCAAAAATTCAATGTCAGGATCTCCCCATCCTGACACTCCCTCTCCCCTCACTGGTTTATTCAGCCATTCAAGAAGTCTTTATTGAGTCAAATAAAATGGTGCCCACCATTAAGGATAAGGATAAAGAGTTGAACAAGACATGATACCTAACTTTCAGGAGCATTCCATTGGAGAGATGGACAGTAAATAAATAATCAACCAGGTGTGGTTGTGAAAACCTGTAGTGCCAGCTACTCAGGAGGCTGAGGTGGGAAATCACTTGAACCCAGGAGGTCAAGGCTGCAGTGAACTATGATAGCACCACTGTTCTTTAGCCTGGACAACAGAGCAAGCCTCTGTCTCTGAAAAAAAATTAAAATAGAAAACAAATAATTATTTAGTGGCAAATGTGATAAGTGCCACAAAGGAAAAGTCCATGGCACTCATGACTGGGCACTCCTGGTGAGGAAATGGAATGTGGGATGATAGAAACTTGATAAACTCAAGAAACTGAAAGAAAGCTAAAGCGCCCAAGCAATGAGTAGGAGTCAGATCATTCAGTGCCCATCAGGCCATGTTAATAACATTGGACTTGACCCTAAGAATGATGCACAACTGTAGAGTTCCACGCAGGTGAATGACAGAATCTGATTTGCATTGACAATCACTTTAGCAGTTGAGTGCAGAAGACATCAGAGTGGCGGCAGGGAGGCGTCTTAGAGGCCATCACCGTTGTCCAGGTGAGGGACAAAGGAGTAAGGTCGAGGAGGGAGAGAGGTGGATGGAACTGAGGGGGCCGACAGAGCCAGCAGGAGCTGCATCTGAGAGTGTGGCGCTCAGAAGACCAGGCTTATCTAGAGATGCAGGACCAGAAATCCTCATATTCAGAGAGTGTTTGAAGACGTGAAAGTGGGCAAGATCTCCCAGAGGGAAGTAGAGTAGAAAGAAAAGGTGGTTTAGAATCAAAACCTGAGGAATTCAAAAATTAAAGATTGGGCAGAAGGAAAAGATCCCTCAAAGGACACTGAGGGAATGAAAAGCCAGAGAGACAGGAGGCAAACCAGGACAGTGTGGAGTCCCAGAAGGCAACGGAGCATTCCAAGAAGGAAGGAATGGTCAGCGGAGCTTAAAACCCCATCCTGGACAAGGGAGATGAAAAATGAGTGACATGGGCTTCCAGGTTGGTGAGCACACCTCAGGGAGGCGGTGGGACAGGAAAGGGCGTGGAAGCTCTTGCCTCCCACCCTGGCTCTCTCTATGCATCTCTTCTATCTCATCTGGCTGCTCCTGAGTTGTAGTCTCCTGAGAATATCTTTAATTTATTTCACTCATAAGACATTTAATGGCACTTTAAAAATTTCAAAATTCAGGAAAAAATCAAAACATTGCAAGCTAAGATTTTACAGTTGAAGATTTTTACAGTATTGCTGTTAACTGAAGAATTTAAAAGAGATGAACTTAACAGAGAAGCGATTGCAATTAAGAGTTTATATTTTAGGCTGGGCATGGTGGCTCACACCTCTAATCCCAGAACTTTGGCAGGCCAAGGCCAGCAGATCATGAGGTCAGGAGTTCAAGACCAGCCTGACCAACATGGTGAAACCCTGTCTCTACTAAAAGTACAAAAATTAGCTGGGCATGGTGGCACATGCCTGTAATCCCAGCTACTCTGCAGGTTGAGGCAAGAGAGTCGCTTGAACTCAGGAGGTGGAGGTTGCAGTGAGTCAAGATCATGCCACTGTACTCCAACCTGGGCGACAGAGCAAGAGTCCATCTCAAAAAAAAAGAAAGAGTTTATATTTTAAATATTACTTCCTGAATATGACTCCACTACTTGAGAAACTTCCCAGCTTAAAGATGTATATGATGGCATTGGTTCTCCTTATTTTTAAATCTGTTAACATCACCTGAGAGTGTTCTATAAAATTTAGAATGTGATTTTACTAACATATAGTCATGTATATCTTAACTGAGTGAGAGTGTTGTTTAAAAGCAATTCTTGAAAAAGGATTAAAATGTATCTGCCATTATACATTTGTGCTTCAGGACCAAAGACAATGTCAAGTATTTTAATGTCATTACATTTAGCCAAAATGGGAATTGCTGTTCAATGAGTATAAAGTTTCATTATACAAGACGCAAAAGTTCTCCAGTTCTCTTGTACAATATTGTCCTTAGTTAACAATACTGTATTGTGCACACAAAACTTTTCAAAAGGGGAGATTTCGTGTTAAGCGTTCTTAACAAAATAAAATGAGTTTAATTTAACCTCTTTATAACTTTAATACATTCTAAAGATTCTAGATTTCCAGAATGTAAAATAACCTGTGAAACCAACCATCCTCACTATTACTAACTATGCCTTCATTTTAAAATACTTGTATCAGCCACAAAGATTTTGAATAATTAGATATTCCTTCTACTTTGAATACATATCAGTTGATACTAAAAATAGAACCAAAAAAGACAAATAATGTTCATAGAGGAGGGTAACATAATTATTGCCTATAGCAAAAACTATTTCAGTGAAGTGGTGACAATGGAAGCCAAATTGGAGTGAAATACAGAGTGAATTAAAGGTAAGAATGTGGAGACAGCCATTTCTGCAAAACCTGTTTCATTCCAGACTTATCCTGGGTTACCTCTGGCTCACAACACATTCAGGGTCACCCTAATTCTCACCTCAGTTCCATAGGAGGAAAATGTCAGGAGATTGGAACCAAAGCACCCTGGCTCTAGTCCAGCCTCAAGACTAAGATAAATGATTGGAGAAGTAAAAGCACTAAGTCTAAGCTCATATGAATTGAGTTAATATTTTTTTTAAGTTGATATTTAAAAAATCAGCTTTAAGTTATCTTACAAATTTCTATGTAGGTAATTTTCTAACAAGCTAGGAGTCAACTACAACTTCAGAAAAATGGCAGTAACTTGATGCCAAGAGAGCTGGGGCAAGGAGGTGTGAAGGAAGACAAAGGGAGCAAGGAGGGGGAATTAAAGAGCCTGACCTAAGACAGGACATGATCGAGCAGGAGTAAATCCATAAGGACTGAGCAACAAGAGAGCCAGTCACACCTGGCCAGGCAGAAGCACTTGAGGTGAGCTGGCTGCAGAGTCCGGGGACATGAGACACACCATGCTGGGTGTAAGTTATAGCGGCAGAAGTCACTTCTGGCTCGAGTGTGGGCTTTTAACCATATGCATACAGCCCCAAATGTCTCTCGCCTCCCCTATGAGGTGTCATTAGTCTCATTTTACATAAGAAGACTTGCCTTGGCCACACAGCCAATAAGGGGTAGAACCAAAATTCAGTCCCAGGCCACCTGACCCACGGCCCGCAATGCCATTCTGCAAGATGTGAGCTCAGCCAACCTCACTCCTTCCTGCTGTGATGAATCGTCACTCAGAGGTGGAGACTGGACCTCTATGGACCCGGAAGTCAGGGCGATGTGCCATTCTCCTGATCATGTCATCTTCCACAGCTGGGGGTGGGGGGGCAAGCAACCCTCATGAGGTCACCAAATCACTCTCCCAGCCCTGTTTCTACTACTGATAAAGCAGAAAATCCCTCAGCATTTTTAGCTCTCCTACTGAAACATCTCTTTCCATCACCTTAAAATTATTCCTTTTACAGGAACTGAGCACCTAAAGCACCCCCAGAAGCAAACCAGAAGCGCCAGCAGCACTGGTTGCTGCAGAGAGAAATTAGTTCCTTAATATCTACCCTACCTCCCCACTTGGTGTGGCATTTAGTCATTAAGGGTTTGGAACCTTCCCACCTAATACAAAGTTTGTGCAGTGGAGAAGAATCAGGGAGGGGAGCAAGCATCCATCACGTGTAATTGCATAACATCTCTGACAGAAGCCACTTTTGTCCTCATTCACTGATCCAAACACTCACGATGGCCCAAGGGCTCTGACATGCAAACAGCACCCTGACTCCACACAGACTGGTGGAATAGGAAGTCAGCCCGAACTGGGTGTGCATGTGCAGCTAAATTTGCAAGTCATCATGTGTCTGTGTGTGAAGCTGTGTGTGTATCCCTAAGAGAGGGCTTGCACATTCTCCAGCCCTGATTGCTTATTTCCTCTGATCTGCCCTTCTGGATACAGGATGGTGCTTGAGAGAGTGGGACGCAAGTATCTCATTCCACTGAGTATCAGGCAACATAAAGCGTGATGTCTGGGGACCAATTCAGTTTGTTTGCATCTTTATGTCAACTCAAGCTCTTTCTTTCCCACACGCCCCAGGGATGAGGTTCTCGAGCATCCCTTGGACCTGCTGGCGCTATTTTCACGGTTGCTAAGAAATGCCAGGCCTGCTTCAAGCCTGGTGAGCTCATGGCTGTGCTGCGGCGGTGTCTGCTGGTGATCTGGGATTAGCGTTACAACAACCAAAAAAAGAAAGGAAAGATGTGTGGGCAAACGGCCACAGGAGAAGTGAAAATGTGATGAAGGATCAGCCGATGTGGGACCCAGAGCCAGGAGAAGCAGTGAGCACAATAGGTACCATGTGTAGCATCTATTCACTCCAGGTATGAGCCGGGCACCTTGGCACACATGAGTTCATTTAACAGGGATGGCACAAAGGCAGGAGAGGCGGCCGCACAAGAGCAGATGCTTGTCCTCTTGGTTCTTTGAGCTCACACAGTGCCTGACACATAGAAAGAACTGAAAAATTATCAATAAAGTAAATGAATCACAGTGTTTAAAAACAGGAAAGAGCTGTCAACTAACCCAACTTTCTCATTTACTATATGAGAGAATCATTTGGAGAAACCACCCAGATAAACCCCTTAGTTTATTCCTCACACCCACCTAACTCAAAAGGAGCCCACCAGTTACACAGAAAATCTGCATAAAGAAGAGGGTGGAGGCATTTCAACCCTGCCCTTCCCAAGGCACAGGATCCAGGCATCATCCACTGGTGACCAGGAAGACAAGATGGGAATCATGCCTGGCTGCTGAGGCTGGCCAGAGCCTCCGGTCCCCACTGCTACCATCCCCCGCCCTGATACCTCGAGCCGGGGCTGCTGCCACAGGTCCTAGCCATTCACTCTGCCTCCCTCCCTTGCTGTCTCTCCCAGACGATTCCGATAATACAGCAGCACCAGTCCCTCTTCCAGCACGCAACCCTTCCCACTGGCCTGCCTGGGCTCTGTGCCAGCCCCACCAGCCAGCCCTCTTCCTCCTGCAGACTCTGTGTCACTGCCCTATGTTCACCCAGTGTCGTTCGCCCAGAACCTCAACACCTGCTGCCCTTGCCAGACCAGGCCTCCCTTAGCTGTCCACACACAGCTGATGCAGAGGCAACTGCGAGCCTTTGACAAGCACTCCTAGGTCTTCCCTCTGCGGTCATAACTTCCCTGAAGACTCTGGTCTCCCAGGGATCCATTCATTTTCATTTTCATTTTCCTCAGGCCGATCACTTTTGTCATTTGGATTTTTCAGGATTTGTTTTTAAATTGTGGTGAAAGAAATGTAACATAAAATTTGCCATTATAACCACTTTAAGTGTACAGATCAGTGGCATTAAATACACGTACATGGTTGTGCAAACATCACCAGCATCCATCTGCAGAACCATTTCATCCTTTCGCACTGAACTCCATTCCTATTAAATAACAGCTTTCTTCTCCTCCTTTTCTCCAGCCCTGCATATAAGGGAATCATGCAATGCTTGTTCATTTGTGTCTAGCTTATTTAGCTTAGCATAATATGTTTAGGTTCACCCATGAGGTAGCATGTATCAGAATCTCACTGTCGCTTAAGGCTGAATAATACCCCATGTATGTGTCCACCCACACTTTGTTTATTCATTCATCCATCAGTGGATATTTGGGTTGTTTCTGCCTTCTGTCTATTGTGAATGAAACGCTGCTATGAGCATTGGTGTGCAAATACCTGCTAGAGTTCCTGCTTTCAATTCTTTGGGCATATACTCAGCAGTAGATTTGCTGGATCATATGATAATTCTGTTTAATTTTCTGAGGACCTGCCACACTGTTTTCCATAACACTGCACCATTTTACATTCTCAGCAGCAATGCACAAGGGTTCCAGTTTTTCCGTATCCTTGCTCATATTTGTTATTTTTTTGTTTTTATTTTTGATAATCACTATTCTAATGAGTTTCTGTAACTGTGGTTTTGACTTGCATTTCCCTAATGATGAGTGATGCTGAACATCTGTCCATGTGCTTCTTAGCCATCATATAGTCTTTGAAGAAATGTCTACTCAAATCTTTAGTTGGTTTCTTTAATTGGATTGTTTTTGCCATTGGCTGAAAGAGTTTTTTAGTATGTTTTGGATATTAATCTCCTGTCAGATATATGATTTGCCTATTTTTCCCTATTTCATGGGGGAAGAGTGACTTCACTCTGTTGATCACTTTCTTTGATTCCCAAAAGTTATTAATTTTAATAAATCCAACTTATCTGTTTTTTTCTTTTGTTGACTATGCTTGTAGTTTCATACTTTTAAAAATCATTGCCAAATCCAGTGTCACGAATCCTTTCCTATATATTCTCTTCTAAGAATTTTCTATTTTTAGCTCTTAAATTTAGGTCTTTGACCTATGTTGAATTAATTTGTGTATATGGTGTTAGGTAAGGGTTCAACTTCATTCTTTTGCATGTATCCAGTGTTCCCAATATTATTTGCTGAAAAGACTGTTCTTTCCCCATTGAAGGGTTCTAGTACCCTAGTTTAATGTCACTTGATCATATATGCAAGAATTTATTTCTGAGCTCTCTATTTTATTCTGTTGGTATATGTGTCTGTCTTTGTGCCAGTATTAATCTGTTTTGATTACTATAGTTTTGTACAAAGTTTTAAAATCAGAAGTATAAGTACTCCAATTTTATTCTTGTTTTTCAAAATTATTTTGGCTATTTCGGGTCTCTTGAGATTCCTTATGAATTTTAGGGTAGATTTTTCCATTTGTGCAGAAAACATCTTTGGTATTTTGATAGGAATTGCACTAAATCTGTGAATCCTTTGGGATAGCGGCTGGGAAGTATTGAAAACCTTTTCCTGTAGCTATTTGGTTTGTGTATGAATGCCTTCTTTATCCAACTAGATGGTAAACTTCTGATCACCAGAACTATGTCTTCTCTCTTCTGTCTCTCACTGCACAACACCAAAGGCACTAAAACATAAACAAAGTGATGAATGATTATTCCTCTAACTAGATTTTTTCAGATGGGAAAAACCAGGAACTATCAACTACTACCACAAAATCTCCTAGCTTTGGATTTCTTCAAGCTTTCTAGTGAATGACTTAACACGGACAAAGAAAACAAGAGGGATCACTAATCCCTGTCATATCTGGAAAGCACCGACTCCCTTCCTGGGCACTACTGAACAGCTGATTCTGTGACTGCTGACCACACCAGAGAAGCCAACACCTCTTCCTTCCCTGATAATTCCTATCAGTGCTGCAGTTTGGACCTGACTGTTCATAAGAAACCCGAAGGTAATTCCTAGACTGGGGGAGCCTACACGGATACAATTGGTGCACTGCAGGGGTGGTTGTAATTGTTGTATTTATCCACTGTTTATTTGGAGCTTGCTATATATCAAGGGCTGAGTAACAAGTGGGTTTTCCATGCACATCATCTTAATGACGGGGGACAGTTAGAGCCGAAGGTCATTGTAAAAAGGAGACAGATGTGGCATCCAATTCTCAAGTGAGTGGAAGACCTTAGAGAAAGAAGCCCAGGTGGGGAGAACCCATGTATTTCAACATGTAGTGAAGCAAGCTAGTTACATACAAAACCAAAGTACTGACACATTAGACCCGTGTTGTCAGCTTGCATTGGCTTAGAGTATGAGTTCTCTCTGTGATAGGTATGTAGCAGCAGCCTTTAATAACCAACAATCGATTTCTTCTAAGCAGAACTCTGCAGAGTTGAAAGTACACAGAGAAGCCATGGATGCGGACTTGGTTCCAGCATACTCGCCCACCACACGTGCCAGGGTTGGTTCCAGGAGTCAGGATCAGAAATTCTTCCTGTGCTGTGGCTCACACCCTGAGCTAAGCCCTCCAGGACCAGTGGAAATTCCTGGTGGGGAGTGTTGACAAGTTAATTATGAGCCTACACCGTCTGTGGTGACTGCAAAATTGCCCACAAGAATTGCATGGAGCCAGATGTTGCTGTTATGCTGAGTGATGTGTCATATGTGCCAGACATCAGGACAGTACTGATTTGCTGCCGCCACGACCGGAGACTGAGGTTAAACAGTAGTTTCCCTTGAATTAGTTGACATCACATAGACCAAACAATTGATTGGTTGGATATATTTTTACTTTTCCATGAGACATTTGTTCTTGTGTAACTTGGGTGTTGAGATCCTAATGGAGCAAGGATGAAAGCAGTGAGTTGTAGCAATCTATAAACCTGAGCTTCTGGAGACCACTACTTGTGTCTTCTACCATCTCTTCCCATTCAGCGAGTCACCTATTCCTCTCTTAGACCTTCCCATTCCTGGCCAGCACTTCCTGACGAACACAGCCAGGTCGCTGTTGTTATCCTCTCTCCAGCTCTGAGAACACTGTGTGTGCTCTTAATTTGGACTTATCTCCATATAAATCAGGTCACTTGGCTCACAGAGAAGCTCTCATTTGATCAGAGACTGTACCTCTAAGTTCAACCAGTCAAGGGGACACATATATGCCAAAAGAACCAGGGTGGATAGAGAATGAGTCCACTCAATCCAATGTCATTACTAAAAAGTAACTCATAGTGAATGCACTAGTAATACGGGTCTCTAGGGTCATTTTCAGTAACTAGAGCAAATAGTTACGTCTTCAGGTCTTAACTGCTTATTTGTCTCAGTTGTACACATCACAATCCTTCACTATCTTCCTCTTGCCAAGAGAATGAAGTGCAAACTCCTTCCTTCATGAGTCAAAGACTTCCAAAGTGTTCCCTGGCCCACACTCTCCAGTCCAGCCTGGCTGGCTTCCTCACTGCCCTTCAAACGTGCCTGCACATTTCTGCCTCTATGCCCTTGCTTATCACATTCTCCTTGCTGTGCCCCCCATGCCTACCACCACCAAGTTCCTGCCAACTGCCCAGTCCTGGGTTCAGCCCCATGTGATCTAAGAAGGCTCCACTGATCACCCTGGGTACTAGGGATCTGTTGCCATCCCTTCTACCTTTTCTAGATTTTTATTCTTTTACTACTGTTATGGGTTGACTTGTGTCTTCCAAAATTTATATGTCAAAGTCCTAACCCCTAGTACCTCTAAATGCGACCTTACTTGAAAATAGGGGCATTTGCAGTTATAATTAATAAAGTCAAAGTGAGGTCACAGGGTGGGCCCCTAATCCACTACTAGTATTCTTATGAAAACAGAACATTTGGACACAGAGACACATGCACAGGAGAACGCCATGCCAAGACGCAGGCGGAGATCAGGGCGATATGGTAGAAGCCAAGGTAGAGAGCTTACAACTGCCAACAAACCACCAGAAGCTAGGAGAGAGGCCTGGAGCAGGCTCCCCTCACAACCCTTGGTAGAAGCCAAGCCTGCTGACACCGAGACCTTGGACTTCCAGCCTTCAGAGCTGTGAAGCAACAAGTTCTACAGCTTGAGCCACCTGGTTAATGGTGCTTATAATGACAGCCCTGGGAAACCAATATAACCATTTATTAGTTACGTATTTAATTTAGATTTAATGGCCATTAAGTTCTCAATACATGCCTCATAGAGAAGTAGGTGCTTTACATGGATTTTTCCTCATTTAATTATTTTTGTTTGTTTTCGAGGTAAGGTCTCACTCCATTGCCTGGGCTGGAGTGCAGTGTCGCAGTCATGGCTCACTGCAACCTCGACCTCCTGGGCTCAGGTGGTCCTCCCACCTCAGCTTCCCGAGTAGCTGGGACTATAGGCACATACCACCACGCCTGGCTAACTTTTGTATTTTTTTATAGAGACTTAGTATTGCTATGTTGCCTGGGCTGGTCTTGAACTCTTGAGCCCAAGCAATCCTCCTGTCTTGACCTCCCAAAGTGCTGGGATGGCAGGTGAGCCACCTCACTTGAACCCTCATGTAATATTTAACAGACTATAAGGTAATGGTAGCATTCCTGCTTTAAAGACAAAGCTAAGATCACAGGGCAAGTACAAGAGTTGAAATCAATCATGCCACGCTGGGTTTACTGCTTCATGCTGTCTCTCCCCTATGCTGACCTGCAGGACTAGTTTTCCATATGTGTCTTCTCTCACTAGGTAGACTCAAGTTTCTCGGAGAGAGAGACAATATCTAACACATGTCTGATCCTACAAAATAGCTAGAATCAGACATTTTCTGTAGTACTTGATAAATATTTCTGTGACAAAATATATTCTGTACATCATATTATTTTCATCAACACAAGCATCCATTTTTATGTTTACATTATCTTCACACATATCCTAGTAGATTGGAGTAGGAGACTAGATAGCTGAGCTGAATTGCTGGAGCCTGTCTCCATCCTAGTGGCTCCTCTGTAGTCCCCTACCAGCTTGGTATCACATGATAGACACTGACTATATCTTTGTGGCTTTTTCTAATCTCCATTCCCTGGGATTTGAAGAGCTTGGGAATCCAAGGACACTGCTCACCAGAGTTTCCAAGACTAACAGCTTCTGTGGGCTCCTGCCCACAGAAGGCCTCTGCCCTTGGGAATGAGTGAACATGGAGCTGTGGAGGCACCCAGCTATGTTCTCAGGCAGCTTCCTTTCCTTGTTACAGTTGCCTTTGAAAGGTGCCACCTTGCAGAGGCATCTGACAAGCCCGTGCACACACAGTGTGGTCTTGTTTCCCTCTGTTACAGTCAGAGAGGGCTCCTTCTATCTTCAAGGCTGTCTTCTCATGTGGGTGGAAGTCAAGACTCTTTTGCCCAGAAGTCAGCTAGTACCAAAGCTGCAAAGAAAGGGGGCCACTTTGCAGGAGAAGAGAATGTGGAGGTCCCGAGAGGATCCATGAAGGACGAGAGGAAGGAGGAAAGACAAGGGGTCTGAAAAAGGGCAGGTGGGTTCGTCCACCAAGGTTCAACACACTGACACGTCCTCCAAATCTTGAGTAAATTCTACTAACATCCATGGCGTGGTTGATTTCTTGTGGAAACTTGTAAAGAAGCGAAATTTGGTACCTAGCAGATAAGAGGCAAAATAGAGAGAGTACCTACCACGGAAATGAGGTAACAGCTACATCTAGGTAACACTATTTATTTAAAAGGTGAAATGAGCG